CTACTTCAGTAACACATCGTGTAACATGATGGACTCAAACCTAACCTGATGACCAGAAGGTCAACTTTGACCAATGCGCGTTTGCTGTACCTTGTACGTTAACTTTATTTCTGAGTAGTTGAAACAGAGAATGGATTTGTTCTTTGAGCCAGTTGTAATTCAACGGATCATTAATGACGAATGGCAGAATGCCCCAGCCATCCTTCCAGGCACTACTCCAGATGGAAGTCATTGGATAAAAAACAGAAAGGTTTGACAGAACGTGAAAAAAGAATAAATTCTCTACACATCATTCATTTTGCCTGACTGCAATAAAATAATTATAATAGAATGTTGTCACAGGATAACAGTCTCCTGCTGCTTTAGAAATGCTTTGCAAAACAGATGTTTACTTTCTCTGTGGGAGACATTGATCCCATGACAACAATCTTTTCTATTCAGGGAAAATTAAGTACTTATAGGTTCAGCAGTACTATAAAAAGTTCATTATATAAAGCCATATAATGTAATAGGTGAAAAAATATGAACTATATATGTGATGTATGTGATACATGCAACTAATAACTAAATTGGATTAATTCAAATACTTTCTTTCAGCATCTTTGCCACCAACAGTTTCTCAACAAAGGCAGATAGGACAACACAATGCACTATGATGAAGTTGTTTTGGTATTTTAATCTTCTAAGGCTGTGTGAGCTTCAGGAAAACAGTATTTGTGAAAAAAAATAATAACACCAAAACTCCAGCATATAATGTCTGATGAGAAATGCTTGAACAATTATCAATAAACCAACACATTGTAATTAATGGAAATTAAAGACTATGCATTTTGTGTCAGAACTGGACTCAATTTTGTGAGTTTTGCTTACTAGTTCCAAGATAAAATATTTGAAAAAAGATAAAAAATAATAGAATATTTGTGATTTTCAAAATATTTTTCTTAGAATCACAGAGTCACAGAATCATTTAGGTTGGAAAAGACCTTCAAGATATTCAGTTTCAACTTTTGACCGATCACCGCCTTGTCAACTACACCATAGCATTAAGTGCCATGTCCAGTAGCTTCTTGAACACCATCAGGGAAGTCTGTTTCAGTGCTTAACAACACTTTCTGTGATAAAATTCTTCCTGATGTCGTCCTGAACCTACTCTGACACAACTTGAGGCTATGTCCTCTTATCCTATCACCAGGTGCCTGTGAGAGGAGATCGATCCCCACCTAGCTACAACCTTCTTTCAGGAAGTTGTAGGGAATGATAAGGTTCCCTCTGAGCCTCCTTTTCTCCAGGTTAAACAACTCCAGTCCCCTCAGCTGCTCCTCATAAGACTTGTGCTTCAAACCCATCTCCATTGACCTTCTCTGGACATGCTCTTGTCTTTCTTGTAGTGGGTGACTCAGAACTGGACACAGGATTTGAGGTGCAGCCTCACCAGTGCCAAGTATGGGAGACAATCACTGCCCTGGTCCTGCTGGCCACACTATTTCTGATACAAGCCAGGATGCCACTGGCCTTCTTGGCCACCTGGGCACACTGCTGGCTCATATTGCGCTGGCTGTCTAATGAGAAGGGCAACTTTACATTAAAAATATTCATATTTTTCTCTGACCTGTCTGCAATACATGTGGGACGCATACATTGCATTCTGTTCTAGTATGATAGAAATGTTACATAGGCTCTGTTTTGGTGAACCTTATACTTTATACAGACACTTCTGCTATTTATCCAATAATGTGTCAACTACAAATTTGGGTTGATGAGACATGTATAAAAGAAGAATGCTTGTTCTCTTATGTGCTGTAGATGTCTATGCCTATGGGCTGTCAAAGGCATTTGACCGTCAAATGAAACAACCTCTGTGGTATTTAGCTTTTGCCAAGGTTGTGTCTGGATTAGGCCGAATAAAATGAGAATAATTAACTAGGGAATGAATGACTTATTGGCTCACCAGACTCACCTCCAGGACCTGCATCATCTTGGATCTTCTGCTGTCCATTTCTATTTATCTTGAGACACCTTATGATGGTGTTTGGTAGTTTTCCAACTGGTGCCTCTATCCAATTTCATGTGCTTCACCTCATGAATCCCAAACAGAGTTGCAAAATGCAGACTACCAACATCTTTGTAACTGGACCAGGTAGGTTTGAGGCTTACATCCACAAGTTTTAAAGTTTGTAGCTAATCAGAATAGCCAGTGAATAACACCACTGAGTCTGGGTTTGCTCAAAGTACTACTGTAGCTGAAGTAATGATTTTTTGAAGAATTTAATGGCATTTTTACTGGGCTGTGAATTTCATCGTCTAGATGTTGAAGGAAAATGTCTTTTACATTTTTGGAAAGAGTCCATTTGGTATACAAGCACATTTAGTTATAATAATCCTGACCTCAGGAGTAGTCACTTTAGCTAAGAATTTCCTTTCCCATTTCAGGGTTACAACAGGCACAAAAGGAATATGGCCATGAGAGGAATGAAGAAAGCAATCTTTAATGCTGCAAGGGTAACTGTGAATGCTACCAATAGGTTGCACTGGGGAGTGCTACTTTAAACTTCAAGAAAAAGAGGAAACTGAAGTCTTAAAAAGTGTCAGTTTTGTCATGTTGAAACCCTTTTTCCCTAGTGCTGAATAAAATGCAAATTTGCCTCCAAGCAAGTTGCTTACCCTACAGCTGAAATGCTGCACATGGAACCAGTTGACACTTTGGTATTTTAGCAGTGTAGACTTATAAATATGTATTTATATTTTCCACGCTAAACTATGTGTCTCTTACCCAGTTGTCACTGTCACTGCATCAGCCAAGAAACCAGTGGAAGTTTGCTTCACTGAGGACTGTACAGAATGGTCTGTGAGAAGGAAGTAAATTTAATGGAAATGGAAGCACATGTGAAGAAAGTTAACATCTTAACACAGAGTACCCTGTGCTAGGCATGATGTTTAGCACCAAAGGGCACCTTCCAGACCCCTTAATGCCTGAGTGCCCTCAATGGCAGTAGCTTGGCCTGAGGGCCAGCAGGGACTAGTGCAGCAGGTCTCAAAGAACCTGTGAAAATGAGGATTTCTTTAGAGGGAAGAAGGGAGAAGTAACTTTCATCTCCCTATACTCAGACACCGATGAGTATTGTTAATCACTAGAGGACGAAAGACAGAGGAGGACAACAGATCCGAAGTTTCATGTGTGAATTAACTTAACATGTCCGATTTGTGTCCTAGGGCTGCTGAGGGTATCACCAGTATTTCAAAAAGAAAGTTTGTGCATCCCAAGCATACTGTTTCACAAGGCAATAGAAGGTAGTATGGACCACTCTGGCTTTACTATACATCCTTTCAAGCCTCAGGCTTCAAGCACTAGGAATTAAAAAAATTATAGCAAAAGATTCATAGCTTCTCTTACTCTCTATATATTTCTATAGGAAAAAAAAAAAAGAATAGACACTAGGTGAGTCATAAGAAACAGGGATGACAGCCCTAAACTCAATGTCCTGGCAAGGGTTGTTGTGCCCTAGTTAAAAGCAGCATGCTCAGCCACGGATTTGTGCCTCTTCTGAGAGCAGACACTGGCTTAGTCTGCCTAGGGCCATGCTCAAAACTTCTTTCATGCCAGTGGAAATCTTCCTAGCCTCTTTAGTGACTTCTTGTTTAGGCTGCACTCAGACATTTAAAAGGATAAGGTTGTAAAACATGTCATAATACAGGGAAAAGGCAGAGTAAAAACTATCTTAAAATCATTGCCTTTTAAAATAAGTTTTATTTGAACAAAGGCAAAGTAATGACAAGTTGTCTTCCTTGATGGTAGGACGAGCCACTACAGCTGAGATCACCTCTTCTTGGAGCATTTTTTCTGAGAAGAACTACATGGGGTTATCACTATTGCCATGAAACTCTCCAAGTGTCTTTAAACTGACAGCATGGGTAGGGAAAGCTGGGAAGGAGACACCTTGCTTGTCATCCTGGATCCAAGCTCCTCTGCTTTGGGTCCTCTGAACCAGTCCTCTCTCCTCTTGCCAAGACTGTAGCAGACGAATTAATTTAGTTTCTTCTTTTCTGTTTTGGACATGACCCGCAGTGTTAGCAGGAGCAGTGCTTGTACAAAGACGAGAAGAACTTTTGTCTCTGAAAGCTGGTGGTCGGCATCCTGCCTTCCCAGTTTTCAAAATGATTTATTTCCTAAGCTTCAGATCCACGAATGCCATTCCAAAAGTTCTCTGGCGGTGAGCGGCAAGCAGGGAGCGCGGACCGGTTTCCTCGGCCGCCGGAGCTGCCAGGGAGCTGTCCAGCACCGCGGCGGGACGGGCGGCGGCGGGCGCAACGGGTGGACGCCAGCACCGTCCCCAACCCCTTTCACGGACACCGCCGCTCCCCGCTGGGGCACCGACCCGCTTCCCCCGTCCCCTTCGCCCAGCTCCACAGCGCAGGGCGGAGAGCCCTGCCCGCCCTCCCATCAGCCGGCGGCGGTGGGAGCGTGGGCTGCGGCCGGCCCGGCCCTCGGCCCGCCCCTCGGGAGCTGCCGGGGCGGCGCGGGCGGTGCCAGCATCCCCCCGGAGCGGGGCAGCGGGGCCAGCGGCGGCCGCGGCAAGCGGGGCCGGGCGCGACAGGCGGCGAGCGGCGCGGGGGAGGCGGCAGGAGGAGGAGGAGGAGGGGGAAAGGGCTCCAAACAACACGTGATCCCCGCGAAGCAGCGAGGGAGCCGGGGGAGGGGAGAGCGGGGCGGGCGGCCGAGGCAGAGGAGGGCAGCAGGCGCTGCCGCCGCCGCCGCTTTAAAGCCTCCCGGCGCGGCGCGGAGCGGTACCCGCGCTCCCGGCCCGGCCCGGCGCGGCGAACTGCGGAGCGGGGTCTGCGCCGGCCCCGGCACGGCGGCTCCGCCGCTGCCTCTCGCCCGCCCAGGGGCATCCGCGGCCATGCGAGGCGGCCGCCCCCGCGGCCACCCAGCTCGGCGCTGCCCGCCGCGGCTGCCCGCCGCCCCGCGCTGAGCTCCGCCGCCGCCGCCGCCGCCCCGCGGCACCATGTCCCGCCGCAAGATCTCGTCGGAGTCCTTCAGCTCCCTGGGCTCGGACTGCCCGGAGACGAGCCCCGAGGAGGAGGGCGAGTGTCCCCTGTCCCGCCTCTGCTGGAACGGCAGCCGCAGCCCCCCTGGCCCCGCCGACACCCCCTTCGCCACCGCCGCCGCCGCGGCCACCGCCGGGGCGCGCCGCGCTCCGCGCCGCCGGCGGGTCAACCTGGACTCGCTGGGCGAGAGCATCCGCCGCCTGACGGCCCCCGCGGTGAGTGCCCCGCGCTCGGCCCCGGCCCGTCCGCGCCCCGCACAGCCCCCACGGCCGCCCCGCGGGGTCGGGTCCCTGTCGGGAAGGGGGCGGTGGTGCCCACGCCCCCCTCCCAGACTATCCCGCCGGGCCGCTGGAGCCCGCTACGCTGCCTCTCCGTGCTCGCTTCGGCTGCCGGCTGCCAGCCCCGCAAAACCTGCGGGAGTATAGCTCCCGGCAGCCCGGTGCTGGAAATCGGGTCGGGAGTCACGCTTAGGAGCAGCTGCCGCCTTGGCTGGGTTTATCATCTCTGCCGAGTCCCTTTCTGAATGAAATCAGTATGATAAAGTGCTTTTCACAGGTCCTAGAAATATTTTTTTTTTTAATGTGGAAAGTTACATCTCTGTGATGCATGGCATGCACATTCTTTCTTCAGCATCGATGTGAACTTACTACATTTGTAGGGCTTCTCCGTACTAAATAGGGTAAAGCAAAGTTCTTGCTATGTGTTCAGAAATATTTCAGCAACAGATTTCCCTGTGCCTCCTGGATGTGCAGACATTCCTGACAGATCAGTTTCTTTAAAGTGGACTTTGAAATGCATGACTTGACGATTATCTAGATAGCTACACCTGTAGTTGAGGGTCTGTGAACCGTTGTCCGTGTGCTAAAATAGGGAGTGATTTCAGGTTGATCCTGTAACACATGGTAGCATCCGTCTTTAAGACTGAAATCCATGTCTCAGGAGTTCTGATAGAGTAAAATAGAAGGTTCTACAGCCTTTCTGTTACAATTGTGTTACACTCCTGTACATACCTCTGTGATCATCACTAAAATTTCCTCATAAAGTTCCAGCTGCAACTGAATGCTTGTTAGGTCTCTGGAACAGTTTAACGTATTAAGGCATAAAACCTTATTTGCAACAAGTAGTCTTAATCTGCAGGACAACTCTATCTGATATTGTGGCATTGGATCATCTTTTTGCATTATTGTTAGCTAGCTTTGGAAACTACTTACGAGTCTCACCACCATCAACTATCCGTTTGTGTCAATTTTAATATACCCTTTTCTGTTTGGTATTTATTTAACTGGCTGGATAGAAGTAGACAACCTGTTTAATGGGTGAAGTCAGTGCATCACATACCAAATAGTCGTCCAGTTTAAGTTAAGATGTTTCTTTCCCATTGATTTTTTTCCCTCTCCACTGGGAATCTGGTCTTGTAATGCTGGTATTAATAGATGATATCTAAGGTGACCTGTCTTGTTTTAGTACAAGAAAAAAGCTATTTAATTTGATAATGATACAATGGTATAATTAGAGCATGTGTTACCCAAAATATTTGAAATATTCTGAAGTAGCTCAGTGCATATTTTTAGATAACCTTAGTATTTGTATTTCTCCAGCTTGCTATAAAAGACAATTACAGTTTTACAGCTTTGATGCATTGTCAAATATGTTTTCAAAATAAACACATTCTTTGAATTAAGAGATGAGGAAAACTTTGATAGATCTAATAGTCCTCTTTCCTTCTTGCACCCAGAGTAATTTTGTTTAAGAATGCAAAAAATTTCATCCAACCTGGTTTTGATGTCCCAAACAACAGCTTCCAAGGTTTCTTTGGGATGCAATTATAGCAACCCTTATTGCCAAAAAACTGTGTTATTTTTAAATTTTAATGTGATACACATTGCTTAAAATTTCCTTTTTTATCTTGGCAGTGTAACTACTACTTCCCTCCCATCTTACACATTTTGGCACAAATTAATGTCATTAAGTCTAAAAGGTCATGTTGTTATAGTCCTGGTATAAGTCAAGAACCAGGTTCCCTGCCTTTTCATTTTTCACTCAGAGAAACCGCTGTTAAGATGCATTGTTATTTTGGTGCATTCTTACCGAATTCTGGGATATATGCCTTCATGCAACAAGTCAAGTTGCCATATGTCTAACACTTTGGATGTGATTATTTTTGCACATCTGCTGATATAAATCAGGAATGACTTTAATTAGAAATAAAAAACAAACTTTGCCTATGAAATTGATGTCAAATGGGACCAATTTCTGTTGTTTGTAAAATTAGAAGGCAAATTTGAAAGGTGCATTGACAGATGTTCTTTCTAAACAAAAAGCCTTAATGCTTTTTTATCAATGTAGGTGGACCTTCATTCCATAATACTATAGATATGGGTCTCTGTTAAGCATAAAAACATATTTAGGCACATACAAATGTATATACTATATATCTAGCTTGCAAGGTTTAATGTTTTCTTTTTAAACATGAATGCAGCAGTAATTTGTCCCCATCCCAGCAGCTGAAGGATGCTACAGGTTCCTGCTGTTTATACTTAGCCTTAGTTTTGTGCTTTCCTTCAGCAACGCCAAGGTTCGAAATCCTCAGTAAAATATTTTTTTGTGCTTTCCCTGGGGAAAAATTCTCTATGTGTGTTTAATACATGTGCCATGCAGAGAGGTCTCAGTGTTGCTTCAATGTGGCAGTAGCAGGGGATATGAGGAGCTGCTCTGGGCATGTGGAGAGCCTTGGACAGAGCAGGAAAAAGCATGCAAGGGGCAAAAGAGGACTGGGCACTCAAGAGGAGTGTCTGTGGGGCAGAACAGCAAGAAGGCTGTGCAAGCAGTCTGCATCTTATGAGTGGTAGCACAAAACTGTGTATGAAAATATTAATATCTTCTGTGCAATGCATTCATGAGTTAGTACAGCTGAACTGTAAAAGATTATGTAGAATGAAATGCAGTAATGAAATATTTGTAAATACAGTAAAATACAATGAAAATAAGTTATTGCCTTTTTTATCACTTGTAATCTTGGTCTCAATTTTAGCTGAGTGTGACTTTGCATAAATATCACTTTTTGTGGAATCGTAGGAAAAAAGTGAACCTTGCTGTATTGCAGCAAGGGGTGAATCCAACCCCTTCTGCTTGCTCCCACAGAACAACTTCTAGCACTTTCTAGCACACAAGATTTTGCAACTTTTCTCTTAAATTGATTTTTGGAGATTTTTTTTCCCTGCAGTTGTTATACTAAAGGATATAGGGACCTGATCTGCAATTAGCACAGGTTTATTTTATTTTCCTGTGGGTTTGTAAATGTTTTCCAACATGCCTGGATGGGTGAAAGATTGATACTGTTCATCTGGAACTTGCTTACCACAAGTGCTCTCTTTTTTTGACAGCCAGAACTAGGAGGATGATAGGGCTCACCTCCCACCAAAAGAGCTGCGTATTTTGAGGAAAAGTGTGTAGTGATGAGACCTGCATTCATACCCTGCCACTGGCTGTGCTGGGGAAGGTCTGGGAAACAGGGTGCACTGGGCAGGGAGGCAGAGCAGCAGCAACTCAAGGAGAGGCAGCTTTTTGTCACAGCTGCACCCAACAAACTGACAGTGCATATACTGAACATCACATCAAGTTTCTGCCCTGCTGCCTCACCAAGTACCAAGTTTGCTGAGTAATCAGGTGCACTGACAACAGGAGCGTCAAGGCTGTGCCAGCAGCTGGGCACAGCCAGGCACTGCAGACCGTAGGGTTGTGGGAACCGTATCCAGCCAGGGCAGTGCTTAGCACTGGAGTGTGAAGATGATGTTTTGTGGGACCAAACTTGGCTGCTCATTGCAATAAACCCCAGGTGTTGTACACAGCTCTTGTGACTCCTTCAGCTCGAGAGATCATGACCAACAACGCTCCATGCATGTTGCCCCATGTCTGGCTTTGCCCTCTCACAGCCTTTCATTCCTGTGATGTTCCCACAAAGCTGAGCTCAGAATTGTGAAGGCAGCTCCTATCCATTCTAAGGTCTTCCTAAATCATGTTTCTGACTGAGCACAGGTGTCCTCTGTCTTCTTGCATCTGAATGACTGTCAAAGGGTCTTTGGTTATGCACTTAGATCAGGAAAATCTGGAGTCCAAACACAGTTGTCCTTGTTACTGGGCTGGTTCAGTTTATTGGAGATAAATAATAAAATGTTGGGACCCTAATAGGAACATTGATTTAAGACCTTGTTTTTAAGAAATAACTCAGTAATTATATGTATATCACCAGCAAATGTAATGATACATTTTACTTTTGATTCCATTTTTGTTACTGTGTTTCATTTTAAAGGATGAATTTTACACCCACAATGACACAAATTTTGATTAATTATATTTGAAAAAGGTGATACTATATGCTATTCATTATCAAAATGATTTTTTTTCTGCCCTTAAGAACTCTGTTATATGGGAGTGGTATCCTGGCACCAGTTGACATAGCTTGATTCTTTAGAAATGGCATTTAGAATCTTACTGAATTCCAGTTCCTTGCAGCAATTTTCACATTTGCTCCAGTTCTATCTTGACTTGTATCCAATACCAGGCTGAAAATAGAAACAAAATCAGAAAAACATAATTTGTTCACTGATTTGAAAAGTCAAATACTCTGCTTGGATCTAAGAGTCATGGACTATCCTAAAGGAGCTAGGAGTGACTGTGCATTCATTTAGAGGAGACTATGTACCCCCAAGCGCTGTACTGATCTTTCTGGAATGAGAATTACAGCATGACACAGCTTTAAACTGACTAACATTTACGTTTGATTTTATTTTCTGAATGGTCTATGTAACGCATCTCTTGAACTATGAACATTATTAAGTGAAAATCATTTCTGTTACACTTTTCTGTTCATCTAGAATTATTCCTGCTATTCTTTAAAGGCCCAGTTGAAGATATATTAAAGTAAGAACGTTTTTTTCGTATACAATTTAGGAAGCTGCTACTGGCGGCTGCCAAATAGTTGGAATATAAGAATTGTTTTTTTTTTTTTTTAAATAGCCTTCCTTCTGACAGTGGAGAAAAGTGAACCTAAAGGCAGTCATTTACGTTACTGTGTAGGCTATTACTTATGTCACAGTAACTTCAAATTGCTTAATGGCAAGTGAATCCTCCAGTGAGTGGAGGTGGGGTTTTGGCAGAGAAGTTACAATTTAGCAGCTTATATCTAACCTGGCTCCATCATAAACCTCTACCACTT